TATATATACACACACACACACACACACACACACACACACACACACAGGGACAGATAATGTCGCTTTATGTCATAGTACCAGCAAGAACTTAAAACTACTTTCACCCCTGTAAAGAAGATATTACAGAAAATAAGAAGAACCTGTGAATTTCCTTATAACCTTGTTATAAGAAGTGTAGGTATAATTCTCTACAACTAAAACAAACTTTTTGTTTTGCTTTGATCAGGTAAATAAGGTGGATTTTGGCCATTTTACACGAGAAGAAGCTGCCAACTTCCTCCTCAACATCCCACCAGGAGAGCAGGTGGAAATCTACACTCAGAGGAAGATGGACAGTAAGTGTGGAGCAAAACAAATCCTCATTTGTTCAGCTTGCATCAGTCCTAATTTTGCCTCTTATTAGTTTATAAGAAGATCATCAAATCCAACCTGGGGGACAACTTCTACATCCGGACGCACTTTGACCATGATACCACTGATGCCAGAGGTCTAAGCTTCACCAGAGGAGAGGTTTTCAGGGTCATGGATACGATGCACCGTGGTAAGATAGGCAGCTGGCTCGCCGTTCGCATGGGAAACGACCTACATGAGATGGATAAAGGAATTATTCCCAATCAGGACAAGTAAGGATGGAGAAGATCCAGACTTTTGTTCAAACAAAGAGATTCTGTTTTAACTTTTCTTTTTTTTACCCATGATTATTTCCTGCAGAGCAGAGAAACTGGCTACTATTGAGCGAACTCAGCGGTCCACTGTAGAAAGACAGGTCCCGGGGCCGAGAGCAGAGTTCTGGAAACTGCGGGGGCTTCGTGGAAATAAAAAGAATGAGAAGAACAGACGGAGTCGGGACGACCTGCTGCAGCTCACCATTCAGGGCAAATTCCCAGCGTACGAGAGAGTCCTGCTCAGGGAAGGTTGGCCTGTTATTTTTATTTATTTATTTATTTAATTACATATAGATTGGATATTTGTCATATTAAAAATCCATTACCAGCTCAACAACTTTTAACACTTTTCTCCAGCTAATTTCAAACGACCTATTGTCATTCTGGGTCCTCTGAATGATATTGCCATGGAGAAGCTGGCCAGAGAGATGCCTGATGATTACGAGGTGGCAGGTTGGTTTCTTCTTCTTTTTGCTGCTTTTTAACTTCATACGTTTTGAGAGAGGAGCTGTGGAATATTTTTCTGAGCTGTTGTTTGTGTTCAGTTTTATATACAGTATATATTGCTGTGATTTCAGAGATGGTTCCTCGCGGTGGAGGAGACAGCAGCTCCACAGTGATTAAACTGGACACAGTGAGGAGAATAGCAGAGAAGGTGAGCAGCCACTGACACAGCTACAGCCAGCATGGAGATTAAAATGGTTTTAATTCTATTTAGACAGCACAAAGATACAGAGCCTATCTGGTGACATCAGATAAAAAAAATTAATTTACCTTGTGGCCATGAGARGAATTACATGTGGCCACTTTATAGATGATGTATGGCCACGTAATGATTAACGCGTGGCCGCGYAATGATGATGGAGTGGCCACATGATTGATAATGTTAGGCCGCGTAATATTGAATGTGTGGCCATGTAATAATGATTATTATTATTGTAATTATTACTACTACTACTACTACTTGGTGTATGTTTAACAGTTCATCGTTCATAGTATTTAGAAGATGACAAAAATTCCCTAAGTGTGTGACACTTAACATAACTCTGACTCCTTCCACAGCAAAAGCAGGTAGTGAGAGAGGAGCCTGTTCTGACTCCTAAGCTTTAAAGAAGAAAATAAAGCTTTTTATGACAAATACAACTCCAGTCATCAGCTGGGTCTTATAGCTGCAACATAAAATGMTTAGAAATACTTCATGCCTAACTCAAGTGACTGAAGTATGTCATTCATTCCTATATTCAAATAAAGGAAAATAATTCACACCAGTCCATTTTAACTATCAGCCTCTGCATGGAAAAGACTGCAGTAATTCTCATGGCCACATGTTACTGTATTTATCTTGTGACCACAAGAATGTTTTTATCCAGTGTCACTGGAGAGGCTCCATACAAATCTTTGTCTTCTGAGATTTTTTTTTTTTTTGACTGKATTGTTTTTTTCTTTCCCAGGACAAGCACCCCCTGCTGGACATCACTCCCACTGCAGTGGAGAGGCTCAACTATATTCAGTATCATCCTATGGTGCTGTTCTTAGATCCTCGCAGCCGCAAAGATGTCAAGGCCATGAGGCAGAAGTACAACCCCAACTCGAACAAGAGCTCTAGACGTCTTTACACACAGGCCCTGAAGATGAGGAAACACTGTAGCCACCTTTTCTCAGGTGAGCCTTGTGGAACCAAATCTTCAGTAAACAGTAACTAAACCAGAATCACTTTCTTTTTTCAGATAAATTGTCTAAATAGTTTCTTCAGGGTTTTCACTTTTAGATTTATGAGCRAATTGGTTCCGAGGGAGACAGAACACATCAGTCCCTTGATGAGAAATTATAATATATTCTTTCTGTTCTTTTTTAGACCAGTGTAACATGTTTGTTGCCTGAACTTTATTCATTAAGGGCTCGAAATGCAGGGAGCGACAAACAACAGTGATTAACAGCTGTCTTCACAACCAGAATTAAACCCAACACAAGATGCAATGGCAGCGTTGCGAATAGCGCTTTCGGGTCGTTTGTCTTCACGGAATTCGATTGGTTCTTCTACTACTACTTGTWAAGATTATTGGTGGTTCGCCAAAAAAAAGTGGGGGAGGTGCATTGCGATGCTAATGATATTGAAAAAGAACAACACACCAAGATATGATTTTATGAGGAAAAAGTTACAGGATAACTTCACCCTGGTGCCAACAAATTCCCATAAAGCTGCCTTTTTTTTTAGTAATCACTTGGTGAAGGGTCATATAAAACTGGAAAGTTTGACAGAGCTAAAATAACATTGAGAGTGTTAGCTAACTGCAGTGTGGCATACTCTCTGCTCATTGGTCAATCAATGAAACCCTCGCTGATTGGTTGTACACCAGGCAAGCTGAACATTTTTCAACTTTCATGTGTTGCGTCACTAGCTCGCATGTGCACGTCTACGTGTACGAGCGCGAAATTTCACATGCATGATTTTCACCGGTTGCTTGGCTGGAGGAGTGCGAGCGATTGTTGCCTAATCGCACAAGTTCCATATGAAATGAATGGAGAGCGAGCGATTTCGCCTCCCGTGTGTCGAGCCCTTTAGTTTGAAACAACCTAATGTGAGTTTGCATTTATGTCACGAAAGTTTACTTTTTACAAAATGTATTAATTTCTTTAGAACAATCAAAAATGTTTTCAGAAATGTTAGTGTGTCAAATTAATCTAGCTGTCACATTGCCTCCTCACCCCTCCCCACACTTGGCCACGCCCCCGTGTCTCTTAGCACCACCCATTTTGTTGGCATTTGTTCAAATTTTTCCCGGGGGAAGGGTTAGTTACACTTTAGGGCTGAATAGGAGGTCTTATGTATTTATTTACCTATAGTTGCACACTGTTCAYTGTATTTCTTTTTCCTTTCAGCTCGTGTTGACCTGATACCCGGCTCCAACAGCTGGTATGATGGGCTGAAGGAAAAGATTCGCCACCAGCAGTCCAAACCTGTCTGGGTGTCTGAAGTCACGGTATGATGAACAGCTGGTCCTCTCTCATTTATCTCATTTATTTGTTTATTTTTTCTATTTGAAACTTTGTTACAAATTAACCATGCTGCTACAATTAAATTAAGATTAGATGAGTTCATTCGAAAAACTTAAAACTTTAAAGAGATCCATGATTAGTTGTAACATTAGACTTTATTTGATAAACATATATTTTAACTGTAAAATAAAGACTGTAAAAATACTGTAGCTGTTTAGTTTTGTAAATTTTTAAAAATATATTACACGGACAGAGCTATTTTATTATACACAAAGCATTCTGGGTAAATGATGACGTGGATAGGTCCTCGGTGCGAGGCTGCTAGTGAGCTATATCCACCCTGAAGGTTAATCTTGGACAATATCTGATGATCGACTCTTTTAAATGAAACCAGAGAGCGTTGACAGAGAGGAGAAGGTAGAAATGACTCAGTCTGTAACTGAAAATATGGATGGAGGACAACAGAGCTGCTTCATGGAAGAAGAACCTCAGCTTAGCCTGTTAGCCTTCGTGCTAGCACCGATGCTAAATTGCCTTATATGTATTAGCTTGGTGCTAGCGTGACAAACAAGCTAAACTGAGGTCCTCCATCCATATTTTTAGTTGCAGGCTGAGTCATTTCTACCTTCTCCTCTCTGTCATGTGGATGGAGGACCTCAGTGATGAGAGGAGAATGTGTAGCGTTGAGCTAATACATATATATGGTGATAGCGTCGGGGCTAATGCTAAAGCTAACAGGCTAAGTTGAGGTTCTTCTTCCATGAAGCAGCTCTGTTGTCCTCCATCCATATTTTCAGTTACAGGCTGAGTCATTTCTACTTTCTCCTCTCTGTCAACGCTCTCTGGTTTCATTTAAAAGAGCCAATCAGATATTGTCCAAGATTAACCTTCAGGGTGGATATAGCTCGCTAGCACCGATGACCTATCCATGTCATCATTTACCCAGAATGCTTTGTGTGTAAATAAAATGGCTCTGTCCGTGTAATATATTTTTAATCTTTTAGTTTAAAAATTATACAAACCAAACAGCCTACAGTATTTTTACAGTCTTTATTTTACAGTTAAAATAAATGTTTATCAAATAAAGTCTTATGTTACAACTAATCGGGGATCCCTTTAAAACCTCRTTACAAACAACGTCAGGTCTTCAACAATGGGGGTACTGCTTTTTTTTCTTTTAATTTTCACTTGTGTCTTTAAACAGACTTTACCATGAAGTAAAAAAAGAATGTATTTCAGTCAGAAATGCACACATTCAGTGAGAACATGAATTTTTATTTGCTCTCTTTTGTCCAGTTGGAGAGCGGACAGGACCAGGATCTCGATGCTCTGGACCAAAACCAGACGGACTACCTCAGCGCTGCCAGCGACCTGGAGGACACTGACGGAGAGGCCTTCACCGATGAGGCCTACACGGACAACGAGGATCTGGAAGAGGCCTATCCCGGTCAGCAAGCCAACAGACACCCGCCCAGCTCCAGGGAGGCCGGAGCCGCTTTAGCCCGCTCCTCTGAGCCGGCTTTCAGGCACGACAGCCAGTCAGTTGAACCGGAGGCCAGTGATGACGCGTACTCTGRGAGAGAGCGCCCGCCTTTGATGCACGTTCCTGAGCCCAGGTCACCTCGCCAGGAGAGCTACAGCCCGCCTCAGAGCCCTGCACAGGAGGACGACGACGATGCATCTCAGCGCAGTTTTTCAGATTCTGATTTCAACGCTCTGGACGTGACACCACAGACTCCCTCAGATGGACCTCCAGATTTTGTAGCCCCCGACCCCATGACTTCCTACTCTGTGGATGAGCCTTCGTACAATGAGGAGCAGCCGGAGAGCTCCCGGAATGCTAACCTGTCTGCGATAGAGAAGAAACTAGAACAGGTTAGTGGTTATTTCAACTTTTAATATAGTTCTGCATATATATGTAATTTATTATATTTATTTTATTTCTTTTTTTAGATATGGTCTTACACTTTTGATAAACAGCCTATTTCCAAGCTTACTTTTTTTTCTCCCTCCCATTTCGTCTTTTTCCATATTGAAACTCTACTTAGAACCTTCTTACRATCCAACAGTGCAAAAATATGAATGCTTGCCATTTCTTTACCTGGTTTTCACATTTTGATGAGGGGTGCGTATATATGTGAGAGCTAGAATAATTTTCTGTTTCAGACACGGATGGCAGAGCCGCAGGCGGAGCCGGAGCCAAAAAAAGGCCCTGCGTTCATCGTGTAAGTCACGTATTTATTGTCACTTTTTGTGACTGATTATCACTCTCTCTCAGCAAATGTGAGGCTGATTCTCGCTGCTACCCCACTGCTCCTCCGCAGGTTGGCCCATCACCACCAAGCAGTCCAGTACAGACGCACACAGATCCGGGGCAGCGACAGCTCTGAGGATGAGGAGGACGTGGACGAAGACGATGACATTGAATGGGGTCCTGCTACTGAACTCTAGACCAAGCTGAGGATTGAGCCGGCCGACTTCTGATCAAACAGATCTTGTGATGTTTTCACTTCATTAACAAACTCTCTTCTTAGACTTTTTTTTTGTTAGTTTGTTTTTATAAAAAGTACCTTGTTGTTTGGTGTGGGAGAATATTAAAGATTACTGCAACTATTAACAGCAAGTACAACGAATTAAAGATCAAAAGTGCCTGATTTTTTTTGTATTTATTATGTTTGAAAACTTCTGTGAAACAAATCAAAATGTTTTTGCTGTTGTAAAATTAAATTAGCTTGTTTATAATTTTTGTATTAATTTTACAATAAACTGTTATTTGGTTTTAAAATGACTCGTTTGATGATGGACATGRAATTGAAATCACATCCATGATCACCAGTACTGTTTATTTTCTCCTTCAGGAACATGCTGAGGTGCAGCAGGGACCGGGCGGCTTGCCTCTGGGCCAAACTGTCACCTGAAACTCGATCTTCTTTGAATGGGAAATAAAACTTCAATGAAAATTTAATTACTACTAATTAATTATATTATGGACATTCACGTTAAAGATGACCAGTTCAGTGGTGTTTTTTTAAGTCCATATTGAAATGAAAACATTACGTCTTGGCCRTTCAATATTACATTATTGCTCACTGCTGAGCTCCACAGCTGTGGAGTGTGTGAGTGTATGTGTGTGTGTGTGTG